TTGTAATTTTGTCTAATTAAAACGCAAAAAATATCCAAAAGTTGTTTTTTATGTATTTCCCTAAATAATAGTTACGACTAGTGTATTTCAGGAGACACTTATTGCACCTTTTGATACTTCATACAGAAATGTTAGTCATTTGTTGGTATTTTGAAATTGCATAATTACCATAGGTTATGGTTCTATTTGACATCAGTTTGTTTTTTGAGCTTACTGATGCTTGGTTATGGCTTATAAACTTACTTATTAACTAGCTTCTTTATAAGCTAAAACTATTTTTTTTCAGCTAAAGTATAGAAAGGAGTATACCGAAATTTTTTATTTAATATAACATGGGGTAGAATTGTTTTTAATGTAAATTACTAAGCACTTTTGACTTATACAAGACTATGTGTTATAAAAGATTATAAAGATTTGCAATGACCTAACATATGGTAGAATATTTGTAAAAATTATACGCACTTTTGACTTATATTATCTTACTTTTAACCAATTTCGTATATTTTTAATGATAATAAGCGGTATGATTGGCACGATATTTCATATGATTATAAATGTATACTATTTTAAATAATAGTTTTTTTTTGTTTGGATTTATACATGTATAAATATTCTTTTAATTATATAAATGAGTTAGGCACTAACGATTTGGTTTTAAACGAAAGAAGAAAGGTAAAACTAACCAAACACTATATGTTTTTGGCCATTCATTCTAAACCGGACGCACACTTGACGTTCTTCAAAACCATAATAGGTATTTGATAGAGTCAATATATAAAATAATTACTAGTTTTCATTAAAAAAAAAAAAAAAAAAAAAGAGGTAAGGATCATGTTTCTTTAAACTACTTATGTTCGAAAATAAATTTCAGCTTTTATCTTTTTAAGAAAAAAATTCTAATTAAAACAATAATAATAACACATAATCAAAATACTATAATAGCTGTTAAAATTTTTTTACTTTTAGGTTTCATGTTATTTTACATCTTAAAAAGCTTAAACTAATTTTTGTTGAAAACATTATGCAAATAAAGACTATAGCTTTCAACTTTCATACCGATTATCAACTTTCAGTTTCAACAGTCTAGTTTCCAACAAATTTTGTCGAACATATATATATATATATATATATATATATATATATATATATATATATATATATATATATATATAGATGTAGGTTCATTTGAGACCATTCTAATTTTGTGAGACCGTGAGACCAAATCTAAAAATAATTTTAAAATGCAAAATAAATGGAAAAATCCAAAAATTCTTTTTTTAAATATTATTTTCGGAACTTGAATTAACTAAAAAAATATAAAAAAAATTAAAAAAAAATAAAAAAAATAAAAAAATTCTTTTTTTTTGAAAAATACGTGAAATATTCTAAATAGAATATTACACTGACATATTCTAAAAAATAATTTTAAAATGCAAAATAAATGGAAAAATCAAAAAATTCTTTTTTTAAATATTATTTTCGGAACTTGAATTAACTAAAAAAATAAAAAAAATAAAAAAAAATTCTATTTTTTTTGAAAAATACGTGAAATATTCTAAATAGAATATTACACTGTACATATTCTAAAAATAATTTTAAAATGCAAAATAAATGGAAAAATCAAAAAATTCTTTTTTTAAATATTATTTTCGGAACATGAATTAACTAAAAAAAAATAAAAAAAATAAAAAAATCAAAAAATGCGTCTCACGGTCTCACAAAATATAGGTGGTCTCAAATGAACCTAACCCTATATATATATATATATATATATATATATATATATATATATATATATATATATATATATATATATATATATATATATTAACTATTATTGTGTGGACGTAAGAATCAATATGGATCAATCATTTTATAAACATAAATTAGGATAAATATGTAATTTCTCCTATTATTTTATTTCGGTAACTAAATAAGTATTTAATTAATCCCTATTTAATCCTTAAAATATTTATAAATTTTGGTTACCACCGATCCGTCCTGTCTTTTTCACCCTTGACCTACCATCGGCAACCCTTCCCTTCCCCTGCGTGTTTTGCTACCAAACCAGTCAAGAGGCGGTCGGAAACAACCCATCGCCACCACTGCCTTTGCCTTCTCCTTCTTAAAAAAAATTCAAGCACTAGAGGTGCTTTTCCGATCCTTCCCGTCGTTGTTTCCATGATTCTTCATCCTTTCCGTTGACTAAATCAGCCAAATGCCCTCCTGAGTCATCAACCACCGATGTTGTCATTCCCGATCGGTGGCTGTTGATGACAAATTCATGAGGCCTAGGAAGAATCGTCAGCCTTGACGACCCCTTCTCCCTCTTCTCCACAATGGAATTCCCTCATAGAGCCATCCAATTTTTCTCTGAATTCCTCTTCCCCGCTCGACAGATGAGCCATTGGAGGAGTTTGTCTACTTCATTCGCGTTTGTTTTGTTCATCTGTTCCTCTTCCCTGATCAGATCCAAGGTTCGACTTCATTTCTTTCTTTTAGTCGTTTAATTCTTTTCTGCTATTTTGATTTTTGTTTTAGCACCTTCGATTAGATCCGCTTAGAATTGTTAGTATCAGACACATTTCTAGCTTCAAAAATCCAAATACTTGATGTATAGTATAATCTGAAAGGGGTCCAATGAAAGAACACATATATACTAGTAAACAATATAGTTCTGACTTAACTCTTAACTCTTAAGGCATTTGCTTTTGCTTATCAGAAGGTGTATTGCTAATTTCAATGTAATGCTCTATGTTACTAATTTAGTCTTTTTACATGGAAGATCTCTTCTTCAATCTTAGATTTTGGTTGGTAATTATGTTAGGAACAACTGAAAAGACACACTTTAGTTACCAGATTAGAGAATGAATAACATACTTATTTCTTGTGATAAGATTATAGACGTGGTAATGCAATACAGGGCTCTGCTACCTATGCCTATACATCAATGGGAAGCACAAATGAAGCAAGGGGGTTTTGGGGTGTTTTAGCAAGGAAGGATAAATCAATCCTTGATGATGATAATGACTCTACTAAATGTTTTGATCCTCCTGTTAGTAGTGTGAAGCCAGAAACATTCTCAACAAGCAACCAGGTAAATATTAACTTTCACAATCCAAAAAAAAAGTATTATTTATTTGTTGTTTGACAATTGACACCATTATCTTGATATTTCCATATATGAATTTTTAACACTGAGGTTGAGCATCGTTTTGGTTTGTTTAACATTCTAAATTTTCATTTTGCATTGATATATAATATTGGTGAGCGGTTATTCTTCCAGAATTGAATTCATCTCTGTCGGAATGGAATCAGGAATTTCAATTCTGTTGGAATGGAATCATGATATTTCATCACTAGTTTGTGCATTTTCTACAATTCTTGTTATGGATTTTGGTGTAATTCACAAGTCTTCAGATTTGAACAAAAGACTTTAGTTTTTTTATCTTTCATTTGCTAATGTATTATTGGGTTCTAAACTACAATTGGATTTGGTTTCACAGATGATTGAAGAACGGACTAAAAATTCAAAGTGATTCTCAGCAACAATATTCTTTTAGAATGTATAAGTATCTTTTTGTTAGATTTTGATTTTTTTTTTCAATTTTTAACCGTTCTTAGTTTTATTTTTTAACAATAAATGTAATTCTTAGTAATTGTTACCTATATTCTTTAAGAATTAGTGTATTTTTATTTTTATTCTTCAATTGATGTTTCAAGAATGAATGTAATTTATGTTCATAGTTGTATTCTTTAAGAATAAATGTATTTACTCATTCTAAAATATTAAAATCCGTTTGATATAAAATATGTATCCATTAAAAATTATTAATTTTGATAATATATGTTTATAGTATTCTCTTAGAATAGAATGTTT